CAAACAAACAATCAGTTTACAGGTATGATAATATGTATCTCACTTTAGTTCCTCCATATTTTAAAATATTGTTTCAGTTTCCTTTGGTCCTATATAGCTGGCTTGTGTATGTGTGTGTGTGGTGTGGGGGGGGGGTGTATACGTACAAACAAACCTTGAATTACATTAAGTCAGTCTAAGATTACACATGTTCAAAGTATTCTCCACCATTATCAATGATTTTATGGCAATGTCCTTGTAAAAAGTCGCATAAAGAATTGTCCTCACTAAATCATATAGAAAGCTCAAGTTTGTCTCATTAAGACTAAGTAAGTACAGAGGAATGAGTACGTTATAGTAAAGCGATTATGGATTTTTCACTACCTCGTTACATGCAGCGTAGTTTCCATTGCAAAAGGCTCTGTGGTAAGCTATTCGAGGGGTGGCTGCGCTAGTCACCCCTAATATAGCCTTAATATACTAGAAAAAGACAGCTAGTCAACACTACCCACACCCCATTCTTTTGCCAACGAACAGTGGGAATGATTGTAACATTATAACGACCAAACAGATGACAGGACGAGCATTTTTGGTGACGGGGATTCAGACCCGCGACCCACAACTTGCGAGTCAAGTGACCGAACCACAAAGCCTTCTATGTTAACGCAATCATGTCCAAAGCACAACACTGCTCTCTGTAGTGTAGTCTTTTCATAATTCATCTAGTATACGAAAAAGACTCGTTTCCCAGCGTACAGAGTTTCACAGACATCTTGAACCGGTATGTATTTGAAATATCATGACTACCAGATTCATAATTTAAGTACTATAAAAGGCCCAGCATGGCCAGGTGGTTAGGGCACTCAACTCACAATCTGAGGGTCGCGGGTTCGAATCCCCGTCCCACCAAACATGCTCGCCCTTTTAGCCGTGGGGGCGTTATAACGTTACGGTCAATCCCACTATTCGTTGGTAAAAGAGTAGCCCAAGAGTTGGCGGTGGGTGGTGATGACTAGCTGCCTTCCCTCTAGTCTTACACTGCTAAATTAGGGGATGATTGGCATCAGGAAGGGCATCCTGCCATAAAAACCCTGCCAACACCAAAAATAGCGACCCCGTATAGGTACGGGAAAAAGCTACAGAAGAAGAAGAAGAATATTTGATCTACTCTATCATCAAATATGATGAAATAATTATGAACAGATAAAAAAAACAAACATGAATGATTAAAATCATATTAAAAATATGTCAATAATTGACATGGGTAAGCGGAGTAGTTTCATACAGACACAGGTCCCGAGATTTTATTTTCAAGTGGATGGGAGGGTGAAGTTTATAACTTTCCTGGATTTTTATTTTATATAATTTTTTACAAATCCTCCAATTTTTCCAAGTTTACAAACAACAAAAAGTGGCTAACCTTAACGCATCTTCTCTGCATGTTCGCTGAGGGGCAAAGCAAGCAATAGCCCAGACTCTTATCTCTATACCAGTGTGGAACTGTTTTCCTCTCATGTCCCACACACCTTGGTTGGGGATAGCTTGCTGCCTGGTCTACAAATAACCATCAAAAGTAGGTGTCATAAATTAACATAGTCATAGCTTTAGAACTGACTTTTCAATAAAAGATTAATTTGAGCAAGACACATAATGCTAGCATTTAAATTTAGTTCAATTATTGTTGCAACTGATTTTTTTTTATTAATCAAATTAATTTCAGCTTTCAGTACTTCCTTTAAGAATGTAAGCAGAATAAATACAAGTATAATCTGGACTAGAGTATTCTGATTTATTCAACTTAATTATCTAGTGGTATTTATCCACCTAGATTATTAAACCAATAACCAACACATATATATATATATACACAAGCATACAGGTATTAAAGCAACTAACCCGTCCTCCATACTGAAGCTTTGGTGGGGGTAAAATACGACCCCGAACCTCCATCATGGTGCTGCTAATAGACAAACCAAATTCTCGTACATATGGGTCATTGTTGAAGTCAGCTTTACGCACCTAAAAATTGAATTTTTTCCTTTATCAAACATGCATAAATTCAAGGAAAAATAATTAATTATGTAAATGCTAAATATTTTATTACTGAAAGACTTTGCATTTTTCTCATCATATTTTATAATTTAATTATTAAAAAATTAAAACTATCAAAAATTAATACAAACTTCTTTGACATGCCATATTAATATTCCCCCCCCCCCATATTGTGTGGGGCACTGATAGAGCTTTTACTGCACTATGTACCACACACATCATCACTGCCTTAAATTACTAAAATGAGATTATGACCAATTAATATATTCAAAACATTTAAATATGTTTAGAGTAGTATCTATCAGATTGTCCTTCCAGTATGAATGAAAAATCAAACTATTCAAAACAGCTTCAAAGTTCATGCTTAAGTAAAAAAATGATACATCTGCTTTTTACAAAAAACTCTAGCTTTGCACTTTTGTTTTCAATCAGAGGTGTGTAAAAACAGTATTCAAGATCTTTTTTCTGCCACAAGTCATTGCCTAGAAGGCCTTTCATTCAATACTAGAAATTGTCAGCTGGGACGTACCTGACTGGGCAGTAGCTCATAGCAGAAGAAAAAAACTGAAATGTTTCATTTACACAGTATAATTTTAATCTCTAATGGGCTAATTAACTCCATAAACCCGAGCAGATGCTACTAGTGTCCAGCCGAAGTCCCCAATTTACCAACAAGATGGGTAAATTAGAACATTGTTAAAATAATTCTGGCAGAACACATAAAATTACGGGTTTAAAACAGTTAAAATAATTGTGGAAAAAAAAAATTTGTTACCAATGCAACTTGTACAAAAAACATACCTAATGGATTTTATTGTTTGACAAGCTTTCAGCATTTATCATTGTAACATTATTTTTTTTCACTGCATATAAATAGCTTTTCAGATGGACTTTCAACTAGCTTAAGGTCGAGCCCAACTGACGAGTTTTAGTATTTAATGAAAACCTTTTGAACACACACCTTTTGTGGTACTGTGCAGACAGAAGATAAATCTGAAATGTTACTTTTATATACATCCGATGTCAAATCTGTATCTGACTAAGAAGAAGAAATGTTGACTTGTCTCAAATACAAGGCCTAAAAGTTTCCGCTGCTTTGCCAGCTTTTCGAATTTTAGTGCCAAACACTAAAGTCTAACTTCATAGAATTTATTATATGGTTTAATAATGGCCGGAGATGGCTTGAATGGGTAATGATGAAAAACTTTAATATAAGTTTAAAATAAAGCAAATGTACAAAACCTTGTCGAAATGTTGTACATTTGCTGTTATGTTAAACTTATATTAAAGTTTTTCTTCATTACCCATTCAAGCCGTCTCCAGCCATTATTAGTTTCAAAGTGGGTTCCTCGTCATCGAATTATTATATGGTTTACTATTCAGACCATATTCAAAACTTTTATCAAATCCTTTAAAATATTATTCAGCCAGCAACCTAAAACACCAATGTATTTAACAAACTTCTGTAAAAATACTCAAAACTAATATAACCAAAGATAATGGACACAAGCTATAACAAACCATTGAAAATACAGGTTGAAGTTAAATAACAAAAACCTACAAGATATTATTAGATTATACGACAAACAATTAAAGACATAAGGAATATTTGTCATCCTTCAAAGTGTGGAATGGACAAAATATCATATTGATATTCTAATTTACTTTTAGGTTACACAAGAAGCAATATTAGCTTTTGGCATCATGAACAGCAGAAGTTTCTGTGAAAAAAACACCAAAAAAACTATTATACATAGTTTTACAACAAACAATCTTACCAGCATTGGAGGCTCAGGAACCTGAGTCGTATTAGCCGACACCTGAAACATTTAAAAGATTGAAAAAAATTTAGTTTCATTACTACACTTAACCACATATATAAATCCAAGCCATGTTTAAACAGACAAGACTTTTCTCAAATTAGTTAACCCTATGTGTACAGCAGCAGGTCAAAAGTGCCCACATCATGACTTTTTTTTTACAGGGTTGAATTCAAAGTTTGAGTAAACAACTTTATTATTAATGTATATCAATAAACTTGACATTAAAATACAAGTTTTAATATAAATGTTAATATTATATAAGAGTAATCTCTTAATTTCATAAAGTGATATTTACATAAATTATCAATCTTTACTTCTCTGTATCATATGATACTTCTTTGCTCCGAATTGCCCATTTTAGATTATATTTTCTACCCTTTATATCACCTTCTGAGTATGTCAACAATTATACACTGATACTATAGACATTGTTAAGCCACAAAGTAAATTTATAGCCTTCCCATCTTTCAAAAAATGTCAACATTTCTCTGCTATATTTACTATTAGATTACCTATAACCAACAGAAAGAGCAGATTCTGCTTTGCCAGATATTTTAAGGAGACTAGGTTGTTTAGGTGGCAGGTGAGCAAAAAATTAAGCCTCAGTTTTATTGTGTGCCTTTATGGTGTTTAGTTTGGGAAGCTAATAGAATATTTTAACCAGTTCATAGCTTAGTTAGAAATCTATCTAAATTATAGTTGTTTCAAAACATTCTATTTTCAATTTATAATAATGTTTCATGTTCTAAAATGTACATTTGAAATAAAAAAACAACAACTATATTTTTGATCACCAAGATACTAAATTTCCTGTAATTTATATATATATATATTTA